TTTCCTCCTTTTTTGATATTTTCGTTACGAAAGCCACTAATGATAGTGCTTTTGTAACACTCTTCGTAGGTTTTGTAATATGGTGGCCTTCGTAATGATCCTGGACTGAAATATTTCCGTAGATTCCGATCCGATTCGATGGGATTCGAATGAATCTTCTCCAATTTTCACAAAAGCTCCGAATTAAACTATATTCAAGAGTACATAGCGCAAAAAACTGACTTCTCAAGATTATAATGTGAATAAAAATTTATTTATAATTACAAAGAACCTAAATTATTTACCAAGAGTAACAGTAGTAAATGTGCAATATATACAATATTTTAAAAATAATTTTACACAATCCTACAATTCGAAAAGTTATGCTAAATAATAGTTGTTCTTTTCTACCTGTATCAAACCATTTCTTTATCATATATTTGAAAATCTAATTTTAGGAAAAGCTCCATCAGACTACTGACCAAGCGCGCATATAAGAAATTTCGATTTTGAAATAGGTTATACCATTTGAAAGTTCGTGAAAAGATACGCTGAAACCCAAATTTTTAGCTCATTGTGGAAACGCTATCAAAAGATCGGAAGAGATCTTTGAATTCATCTAAAGTACAAATTCATAAATCTTCGAAAATTTTGATGAGTTTTAGATAATCTTATTAACACTATAATATAAATGCACCACGATGGAACAATATTCTCAAATTTAAATTGTATCTAAAACTTTCTAATATGTTTTTTTGAACTCAAAAATTAATAAAAATAATCGTTTTTGTTGTAAATTTTTGCTCTCAAAATGTACCAGAACAATTTCCTCTTGAAAATCTTTTAGCATTAGGAGAAAGTCTGTTAAAAACTGTATATTTATACATATTACTCAACAAGATAAAGTTTGGAGAAGTTATTTAATTTTTGAGTGCAAAGAAGATCACAGCCATGCGAAGTAGTTTGACATAGATGGAAAAGAACAATTATTGTTTAGTTTAACTTTTTGAATTGTAGGATTATGTAACATTATTTTTTAAAATACTGTGTATATTGTAATTTTACTACTGCTACTATTGATAATAATTTAGGACTCTTGTAATTATAAATAAACTTTTATTCATATTATAATCTCGAGAGTTCGATTTTTTTTGGCACTCCGTACTATGTTTTAGAGGTGTCAGTTATCCAGAAGCCTTTGGTCGCTGGAATTCCACTGAATGCAAGGTTTTTTCGATACCATTAATTTTAGGTACCTGTCATTTCGGTTTTATCTAATTGAACAGTTGTTCCGATATGACTGAAAAACCAGATTGCTTACTGAAATTCAGTCTTCGTATTCCCTCTTGTTAACGAGTTTTTGCTGAGAACTCCATTATTGTAGCTGGGCACAAGAAAAGTTCCAGTTTAACACTAAAATTTACATCGCTGACGACAACTTAGCGTCAGAGTATTTTAATTCTTGTGAATAACCTTTTTGCCGTAGTTGAATACACTTTTGTTTCTAATTTTGTCTTGATTATCTTGCGAAGAAGTTATTCTGAGAAGAGACAGAAATTCTATAAAAGCACGTTTTCTAATGTCGCAGTATAGTTCATCATGAATTGATAAAGAGACGTTGATAATGAGTAAAGAAAGTATGTGCTGATTTTTCTCTGTAAACAAATCGGCAGTATCGGCTATTACTGTAAGTTCTGACGGAGATACAAAGGCTTGTTGATGCTTTCAAAAAACTGTTTTATTTTTGATATTTTATGCAGTTACTATGACGATCTTGAATAAATTCTGTGATAAGCTTACTGTTACGTACCACTTAAGAATTGTTGAATTCTAATGAGTATCTCGGTCAACTAACTTAGTACTTTTTATTGATCGGTTTTGTGAATTAACTTCTTAAATAAGAGTTGAATAAAGATTTTGAACATCATCTTTCTTTCGTTATTCTTCCACTGAATATGTTCATGCGTCCTTAACTCAAAGGTAAATATCTGTCAATCTGCAATATTTTATTAATTTAAAATTCGTTCAATCGCTTTCTCTTAAGAACTTTGTTATTTTCGTTGAGAAGCACATGTATCATTGCAATGGCCTTTCTTAAGATATAGGACGTCTTTCATGTTAAAGAGAATTGTGAATGAATCCTGTTGGACTGGTAGCAAACTCGCTTGGATAGAGATTAGAAAGAGAATTTCGATTCATACAAAATTTTTTCAAAATTTTATTGTTTGTAATTATCTTTGAAAGTTGATTTTTTTCCTGCTTTGGTTGTTGAGGATGACAATCAATTGTTTGCATACATTAAAGCTCATCAAATTAGTTTCTGAACTATATGTGGTGAAATTCACGTAGAGTTTATGGAGGATTAAGGTCTGGAAATATTTCATAAAACGGATCTGGATCAAAGTATTCTGAATCTGATGGATTGCAACTGTCAATATGCAACTCTATTCCTCACGCACTTGCATGTTTGGAACACTGCAGCATCCTTTCTTAGTAAGAAAGAAATCCTCCTTTTTTCCTCCTTTTTTAAGAGTAATCCTCCAAAAGAATCGGGTCATAAATCCTCCTGATTCCTCTTTTTCTTTATATGGCCGCTAACATACCAGATTCAAGACATTACAACAGACTTTAGTCTTATTCATTTGTGAATACATCGATACACATTGTTGAACAACATGTATGAATAGTACGAAACATACTTGCCAGTACTACTCACTTCAACTAGAATTGCAACACGATTCTCAATTGTTGTATAGTTTTCTAACATATGGTTTTGCTTGTTGATCAGCTGGGTACAAATACTTATTACAGAGTAACGTAGGCAGATTCATCACAGGATACAGCATGATTGCGTCATAAAGATCCACATATCTTGTTTTCAGGTTATTGAAACGTTTACATTCATCTTTTATTCAGGTACATAGCCAGGCGTAGAAAACATCTCTAGTTTTTCTAAAGCAGGTCTCACATAAGTTTGAGTTTCGAATAGATATCGCAAACCAAACATGTTGTTTGTTCTACTCTTTCCACAACTAGCACCATTGCCACATATTCGATTTCAGTGATACTGAAGTGAAAGAAGAAAGTTTATTCATATTCTTCACGTTGCTCATGATGATAGCTCCTTTAGGTCCAGGTCGAACCGCTTCTCCTTTTAAAATTATTTTGGATGCGAACTGAAAACTTCTTCAGTCAAAATTCTAGTAATTTATAACTGCAAGCACATTAATTCTCGAAATAAGTTGGAGATAGTTAGAAAATACGAACCTAGTTTACCTGTTACTCCCACATACAACGCTTTATCAAAAAAATGCAGAATCCATGACCACACCGTATCATGAGCGACTTCTTCTAGCTGATTCGAAGCTTTTTGAAGTCACTAAAGATTCAGAAAAAATGTTGTTTTATTGGTAAGATACACCTTTCATCATTACAAAATCTAAAACTTTTCTCATATCATTGGACTTTCGTGTATGTTCACTAATACATATTCTTCTCAGCATGAACCTATGCAAGTATTTTCGTGTAGAATTGACCAACATTAGCCACATGAACTATCCACGAACACAGCACACAGCGACTTTATTAACAAATGGAAAAATGTTGGTTACTGGTGGAAGAAATATTGATGGCTTCCTAAGTAGTGCTGAATT